TCTCAGTAACATGGAATTTGAATTTTGTTGTATTTCTGTATATGAACGGTATTATGAGTAATATAACTTTGCAAAAATAGCCATGATCAATTTGTGATTTCATTTCAGGGAATTACTCACGCAGCATACAGAGAATCTTTTTACCATCTTGAAGCATACTATATACAATGAACTATCAAATTCCAGAAATCCAAATAATATGTCTTTATTAGGAGTTTTATTCCAACATTCACCAGACAATGCCGCAAAGGTAAGACTTCGTTATCATCCATGATGGAGATTTTAGTTGAAATCTTGTATTTTAATGTAGTCATGATATGTTAACATAAACTTTCTAATCACTAAATGATTTGCATTATTTTGTGTAGTATTTAGCCATGGTGTTTCAGGAATTACTGGTCAACAGAGAAGACTATATTCGAGCGGTTAGAGCGTTACTTCGTGAGATTGTACGGCAGTTACGATATGATTTAAATTTTACGTCATTCTGTATGGGATTGATGACAGAGAGAACTGAACAACAATTTGCTGAAATGGATTCACAGCTTAGGGTAGGTTTGGTCACCTGTCACAAAAAGTCTTGCACAAAATCTAATTAGATATTCACTAAAATGTTATCTATAGGCATTATCATATTATGTTGGATTGGATCAAAGTTAAGAAAATACAAAAAAACAAAAAAAATAATGTATTTTTTTTTTTCGAAACTGGCTTGTGACTTCCATGCCCAGAAATTTGTTAACCAAATAAAAATTTTACCAGTTTTCCCCCTGTCCGTTTGCCATAATTTAATTTCTTGGTTCAAAAGTCTATGCTAAAAATTACAATCTAGTTCATTCAATTTTATTTGTACACATTGGTCATGTTCAATAATTTAATGAATTTATAATTAATAATCAGTACTAACATTTGAACTGTCTTGGTTATTATGGATAAATTTAATTTGGTCAAGATGTCATGGGATGGGTAGGCTTACAAAAATGTAGTAATATTCTGAATCAATTTACCAAGGGATTAGAAGGCTTCTAGGATTCATACTGCCCTCAGTGTTCATATAAAAATGTTCTTGTTTGTGTTCGGTTGATATTCAAATGAAGCCTGTTTACAATTTTGGGTTGTATTATATTGCAACAAGTAGTTTCCACTTTGTTTAACCTTTGTTGACCTGGATATAATAATCAGTCTGAATCCTCGGCATATAATTATGTCCTCCCATGTCATTGACTTAGGGACAAGCGGATTGGTTGATAACACTACAGTTGTCGTCAAAAGTCAGAGTGGCCTTGCTTATTAACACAATGCATGATTTACTTGTGCTTCTGGAAAGAGATCAAATTTTTTGCTAAATTTTGGAATGAACAATAATTTTAGATAAATAAATTTGGACATGTTTCTCAACTAACAGCAGGTCTTCTATGATTGGTTTCAGACCAGTTTCTTTCGTAATGTAATACATCATACATGTATATGTCATACAATTTTCCTATACCACAATTAGAGTAGTCTATCTGAGAAAAATCACTAAATATGACATGATTGAATTATCTTGATCTGATGGAGGGAGTTATGTGAAGCTACATGGATGTGATCATTTTCATTGCAGGACAGACTATTCCTTTCTTTAGCCGATCTCATTGCATTGACTGAGTTACTGAGTATCACACCACAAGTAAAAGACGTAGTAACTGCTTGTGCTAGAGGAGACAGGAAAGGTAAGTTACTTTAGCTGATCTCATTGCATTGACTGAGTTACTGAGTATCACACCACAAGTAAAAGACGTAGTAACTGCTTGTGCTAGAGGAGACAGGAAGGGTAAGTTACTTTAGCCGATCTCATTGCATTGACTGAGTTACTGAGTATCACACCACAAGTAAAAGACGTAGTAACTGCTTGTGCTAGAGGAGACAGGAAAGGTAAGTTACTTTAGCTGATCTCATTGCATTGACTGAGTTACTGAGTTTCACACCACAGGTGAAAGACGTAGTAACTGCTTGTGCTAGAGGAGACAGGAAAGGTAAGTTACTTTAGCTGATCTCATTGCATTGACTGAGTTACTGAGTATCACACCACAGGTAAAAGATGTAGTAACTACTTGTGCTAGAGGAGACAGGAAGGGTAAGTTACTTTAGCTGATCTCATTGCATTGACTGAGTTACTGAGTATCACACCACAGGTAAAAGACGTAGTAACTGCTTGTGCTAGAGGAGACAGGAAAGGTAAGTTACTTTTGCTGATCTCATTGCATAATTGAGTTACTATTTTGTCAGTCTTGTTAGCTTTCACTTGTTGTACATCATTGTTCATCCTGTGTCTTTATTGTACTGGTTTTGTATGGGTACTTTGTTGATGCAATTTCTTTAATTTTTTTTCTGACAACATGAAGATATTTACAGTAGATGCGGATCAGTCAGTGGTGATCACATGACACATATGAAATAAGCAATATTCAGCTGCAAATATACGACAACTTTATAGCACTCAGTTAACAGGATGCACTATTTAGAGCCACTAATAAAAAAAAATTAATGAGTACTGTGTTTTTTTTTGTTTCAATAGATATTGAAGTTTTACATGCGTTTCAGAATCAAATAGCAATCATACAGCGAGACTCTGTCTGGTGGTTGCATACCAATGTTCCTGCTATGTTTAAACCAAACCAAACAGACTATGTACACTGGTAAGATATTCGCTATATCTAGTAGATAAATTAGCTACATCATGTTATAACAAATATATCTAGTAGATAAC